AGTGGCATCAAGACCAAAGTAGAGATCCAACATCCACCAAGCAATTCTCCCAGGAGAATATCTAGATTTCAATAAGCACATGTACCAGCTTGGACCTATGAAACCATGAACTAACGCGAAGGTTCCACGTGAGAGGCTGAGACAATGTTTCAGTCCTTCTTTCTCATTTCGAGTAGGATAAACTCACGTCCACAACGTATATAGAAACCCAGTGAAGCAAAATACCGCAATACCCATGAGCATAAAGAATTCGGTGAACATAGCTCGGAATGCCAGAACGAGGAGATTATTTGAAAGCGTGACGAAGGCGAGTCTATAGGTATAATAAGAGTGATAATTTCGAAATTAGGAATGTCACGACTAACCGAGGAAATAGTAGACAAGCAGCCAACGCCAGACAATCCATTCCAGCTACTCGAGCCCAACGTGCTGAACAAGTCGTAAATATAGGTCACTTGAACGAGTCGAACATACCATCTTCAGCGACTCCAAATAGCCGTAGAATGATATAGGGTATGAATATCAAGACTAAGCCAGATCAGATTGTGTCAATGGACGATGTGAGGACCTACTGAAGGCTACATCGAACCCATTCTAAACGGTGACTTGTGTGAGCGAGTGTGAAACATCTCAAAGACTCCTCATACCCAGGTACCATGTATATAAACTGAAAGTGATGATTAGAGCATATCCTGAAGTGCATGTGCTAACGCACCCCGTAGACCGTGTTCCTGCATGGCAGCCAGTTTCTCCAAGACAAACCCAGTGGCATATACCATAAAGATCTTTTCATGCGAATTGATATTATCGGGATCGTAGAATTCTAGCGTAATGACAAAGAGAACGAAGAGGACCAGGAAGCTTTTTCATTTTCTAAGATTGGTAATCCTCATGTAAATGGAACCACTCACTTGCCGTATTCCAAAACCGAGCGAATGGCGGGTATCTTGAGTCTGTATGGGATCAATATCGAATACTCAAATAATTGCTTAAAGCATACCGATAGTGATCTAACAGAGGGGCATTACGCTTGAGGGGGTTAGACAAAGCTGAGGGGTTTGTTTGATAAAAGAAACTGCTTACCGGGTCATAGTAATGAATCGGAGACATCTTATAAGCGTCTCTGAGAAGCGAACGAGAACTTTCCGCAGTGTAGACTATCTTGCCACTCCAAATAGCATCAATAACCTTTTGACACG